CTTGGCCCACCTGTCACCCCTGACAGCAGGCATCTAGAGAAAGAAGCACTCCACGCCGAGCCTCAAAAAGGGCTGGCCAACCTTGCCCAGGCCTTCTGAGCAACCAGGGGAGGCTTCCTGGAAGAGGAGGCCCCTGAGGACTCAAACGGCAGAGGAGTGGGGGCAGGAGGGCATTTCCTAGGGTGCCAGTCCCATCACCTGCCCTGAGGTTACCTGGGGCCAGAGCCCCTGAACCTGGGGGGCTCCAAGCACATGCTCCCCCAGGCTTACTCCCCTCCAGGCAGCATGTCCCCCAACCCCTCCTGCTTCCTCCTTTCTTCACCCCACCCCCATCTTGGGCATGAGGTCACCTCTGCCAGTTGGCCAGAGCCAGGTCTCCACTTGCCTGATCATCAGCATCCCCACTCAGGCCCCGGTTCCTGCTCCCACCCACGGCCTCGGCCTCCCCCGCCACAGACCAGTCGAGCCACAGGAATGGTTTACAAGCTCCCTGAGGGGGTTCACAACCAGCCAGACTGGGCAACAGGAGGCAGTGCGGGGTGCTGGCAAGGAAGAGCAGGAGGCTAGGTGGAGAGAGGGGTCTCTGCAGGGACCCCAGCCGCTGGTGGGCAGCAGGAGGGAGGAGAAGCCCCCTGAAGGACTGGAACACAGCCAGCTTCCCTCTGAGCAGGGGCGAGGCCAGGTGCTGAGGCTCCCTGAGAATAACAGCCCTGGTCACAGATAGGCCGGCCCGGGGACCGCAGGGGAAGGAATGAGGCCCTGGGCACAAATTGGTGGCAGTCCCAACCTTGGTGGGGCAGGCCCTGTGCCCAGCACTTAGGCGCCAAGGATGAGACAGACACCCTCGCCAGGAGTGACCCATCTCAGGGAGTGGTCAGGCAGGATGGGGCACAGGAGATACAGAGGTGGCGAGCAGGCCCCCTCATCAAAGCTCCCAGGGTGAGGGTGCCCCTGTGAGCTCCAGGACTGCCTTAGAGCCCTCTTCCCTTGAGATGCACGGTGCCCCTCTGAGGGTGGGCTGTCCCCACGGGAGACCCTTAGGGGACCCGTGGCTTGGACCAGCTCGGTTACAGCTGCAGCTCTGTCCCTTCATCCCTCTGTCCCTCTCTGCTCCCCACAGCCCGGAACGAGACAAGAGCCCCGCACTGCATGCAGACAGGGTGCGGCATGGCGGCCCCCACCCCCCAGACCACGGCTCCTTCCGGCCAGACGCTGGGCCAGGGAGGAGGCCTGGAACAGCAGGTCCGGCACAGACTGCCCCCCAGCTATGGGTGCAGCGGAGGAAGAGGTCCAGGGAGGCTGGCCAGGGTAGTGGGAGGTGAGGCTGTCACATCGCATAAGAGCGGCAGCGGCAGCTCCGCCTCGCTGATGGAGGGTGAGACACCCGGGTGTGCACAGGGCGGTGACTCGACCCAGATCCCCTCAGCTCAGGCCCCTGGCCCACCACAGGCTCACGCCCTGCACCACCCTCAAGGGGGGCACTCTGCCCCAAGTACCACGGGGAGGAACAGAGGCTGTCTTTCTTAGGGGTTCAGGACCACTCAGGACACACACCCTCATCCCAGCACAGAGCCTCTGCCTTCTCCAGCTCAGCTCTCTGGGCACAGCTGGGCGCGCCCCCCATGTGGCACCCACTCAGTGGGCGAGCTGCCTCACTCTGCTGCAAGCCATCTGCATCAGCTTTTTTGAAGGGAGGGGGGAGCAGCCCTAAGCACACACAGACACACACACACAGGGCCCGCTCTGCTGAGTGAGCCTCAGCCAGACCAGGCCTGAGTCAGCAGCCTTCTGGAGCCTCAGTGTCCCCTCCACACAATGGGGAGCCTCTTCCCAGACCCGGGACTGTTGTTCGAGAAGGTGAGGTCACCCTGGGATGAACATTCCCAGCCCAGGGCAGGTTCTTCTGGTTGCCGCCGGCTGGCAACGCCGCCCTCCCACCCTCACCCTCGCCCTGTTGGCTGCCTAGGCAGCTGAGAGCCAGTCCAAGACAGAGCAGGGTCCCGCACACCCAGCAGGCCCTGCTCTAAGCGGTTCCCCATGTCCACCTCCGGAGAGAGGAGCTCGTTTTCCCGGGGGCCACTAGCTGTGGCCAGGCTCACCCTCTGCTTTATGGTGCTGTCTCTGAGCCCCAGAGCATGCCTGGGACCTGCCCAAGGTCCCCGCCCAGCCCCAGCCTCCCGCTGCCCGGCTCCTGCTCCTTCCACAGCCCCCACCCACACACCTCCGGTCTCAGCTAGCCCCCAGCCTCCCACCGTGCCAGGCTCAGAGGGCTCCAGCCCCTAATGCCCTCTCCCAGCCTCCAGGCATCAGGAGAAAAAGGTGGACCTCTGCCATCCCCATCTCGGGGGGTAGGGGGAAATGGGGTTGCTTACCCCTGCCCCCAGCTCTCCACTCAAAACCTGTTTGATTCCAACTCATAGTGAGCCTGTAGGATAGAACAGGCCTGCCCCGTGGGTCCCTGTGTCTGGCACCTGACAGGAGCCCACTGCCACACGCTTCTCCTGGGGCGGGGCCGGTGGGCTCCATCCACCCACCTTGTGCTTCTCAGCCGAGTTAGCACTGAGCCCCTGCGCCACCAGGGAGCCCTCCAGCTCTCCCCAGGCCCACTCCTCACCCTGGTCTGAGACGACCCTTGACCTCCTAGTCCAAGTGAGCACCCAAGGACTTTGCCCCCCTTCTTCCCAAGGTACCCCTTCTACATCAGAGCTGACCCAGCCCCGAGTCCCCAGGCACTGGGAGCACAGGGTACATGGAGGGCCAGGGTCTAGCTGCCCCACAGCAGAGACTCTCCCCGGTGTGTCAGTGAATCGGGGTGGGGCCCCCGTCCTCAAAGTAGCCCCTGGCCACCACCCACCTCCTTGAGGAAGACTGAGAATGCCGCCCACCCCGCCCAGCGGTTTCCGGATTTCCGGATTTCCGAAGGAAGCCTTCCAGGTGTCAGGGCTCCTCCCAGCCGCTTTCCCAAGAACCACCGCCCGCACCTTGCCTGCCGCCAGAGTGAGCAGGGGCTGTGGCCAGGACAGGGCTGTGGCCAGGGACACCGTTCCCACCTTCCCTCACCCTGCCCCGACTCCGGGGCTCCGGGACCCAGGATGGGAGGAAGGGAAGGCGTGGGCACAACCCTTCTGTCTACAGGGACTCCCTGTCCCGCCCCCAGTCTGAGCAGCTGCTGACCATTTGGGGAAACACCCCTGAGAAAGGCCCCACCCTCTCCCACCCCTGCCCCCAGGCCCTCAGGTCTCTCCTGGGATGCTCCTCCTGCCCACCTTCCTGGTGAGGGGTGTGGGCGGGGGCAATCAGTGCCCCTGGGGGTCCACAGCAGCCCCTTTGGGAGATTTCCTGAGACCATGAGAACCTCAGCCTTAAGCCCCTCTTCCCTACCTGTGCCTCTCCCCAAGGACCCGCCCTGCCTCCTGGGTGGCGGAAGAGGGGAGGGGCCCAAGGCACCTTGAGCACAAGACCTGCTTTGGATGTGTCCCCTCTTGGGGCATGGCTTCCGGACCTGCGCTCAGCTGGTCCATTTATGGAGGTCAAAGTGAGGCTGAGCAGGGAAGAGCTGTCTGAAGCGGGGAGCCGGTTGCTAAGCTAGAGACTCCTGCTGCTAGAGGGGGCTGCCTGAGACCACCCAATGCCCTGGCTCCCCGGGGGCCCAGCACTGCCTGGGCCCCTCTCCCAAGGACCTCCAATCCCTGGGATATAGAAAGCATCTGCCACCCAGCTCTCCCCACACCCACTCTTCACCTTGGCCTGAGATGACCCTTGACCTCCAAGTCAATCATGAACATCCAAGGACTTTGCTCCTCCCCCCCAGTATGTACCCACTGCGTCAGAGCTGACAGCTCAGTGGGGTACCCCCTCCTCCAGACCCCGCCCCCAGCTTCCAGGCACCAGGAGAAAAGGGGCACAGGGGAGGCAGGGTCTAGCTCCCCAACAGCAGACTCTCCCCATCCTGTCGTTGAATCGGGGTGAGGGCACCCCTTCTCTCACTAGCCCTGCCCACTGCCCACCTCCTTGAAGACCAAGAACACGGCCCACCCTGCCCAGTGATCTTCGGATTGATTGGAAGAAAGCCTTCCAGCTGCAGGGGCTCCTCCCAGCCAGCACCCCGATTCCCACCCCGGCCACCCACTCTCTCACTCAGGCCCAGTGCTGGCCACCACAAGGTGCATTTCACGTTTGCGTCCACAGCTTTATTGGGGTCAGGCAGGGGATTGTGGGGAAGCGCTAAAGCAAAGGGCCAAGGCCAGGGAGGCTAGAGGCTGCAGCATGGGTGGGTGGGTAGGTGGCCACCTCCCTGCCCCAAGGGGCGCTGGCTGTGAAGGTGGGTCCTCAGCGGGTGGTCTGGTGGACCTGCTCCCGGGATGAGATGACCTTGCCATCCTGGACCTCCTCCACGATGGTGCGCACCTGGCGGGTGGTCACGGCTACGGGGGAAACAGACACTCTGGGTGGGCAGCGCTGGCTGGGAGCCTCGCTCAACACCCCGGCACCCTGAGTGGAGCCACCCCTCCCAGCAGCTTGGTGTGAATACCTACCATCCCTACCATCGCAGGAACACACCTTTCCTTTCCTTCCCTCCTTTCCTTCCCCCACCCTCTGCTGGCGGGGCCTCCTGACTCCCCAGGGAAGTTCTCTGGCTCGGACCCACTGGGCCCTACTGTGAGACAGGGGACTGCATGGACTGAGGCCAAGACCGTGTGGACTTGGGTCCGTCTCCATTCCTCTCCGGTACCCAGGGCAAGGGCTGTGCCCCCTCTCCCACATCAGACCAGGGTCTCCCAGGTGAAAGCCAGGTCACCCCCATTAGACCAGGTTCCCCAGGGTCATGGTCACATGGTCACAGAAAGGAACCTGTAAGACAGGGGTGTCCCTATTCCTCAGCAGACAAGCGTCCCCAGGGACAGGACTGCTTTTGTCCCATCTTCCCAAGTCTCAAGATCAAAGGTGATACGCCCATGTCCTTATCCCGCATCTGATGAGAAACTCCTGGGTGGGTGGGTAGGTGGCCAGGATCAGACTAGCAACTCCAGAGCCAGGACCATTTCTCTGTCTCTGTCCCCTCACACAGACGGTCTCTGCCTTGTGACCCTTCCCTGGGCATCAATCTGGGGCCCCATCCATCTCCCCCCCACAAGAAGGAGCAGCCATCATGTCCTGGACCCCCTGGGGCTCCCCAGGTAGCATCCTCCTGAGCACTGTGCAGACAGTGCCCTCCCTGTGACCCCAGCCCTTTGTCCCGGTCTGTGGTCCTTACGTTCTTTGGGCTTGTACTGAGTCAGGCTGCAAAAGAGAGAGAGAGAGGAGAGGAGATGAGATGTGCATCTGAACTCCCACACCCCACCCAGAGGCCCTCGGGCTTGGCCAGGCCCCACTCACTGGGCGTCCTCGCCCTCCAGCAGGCGGCGGTAGGTGGCGATCTCCTGTTCCAGCCGCGTCTTCACGTCCAGCAGGATCTTGTACTCCTGGCTCTGCTGCTCCATCTCGCAGCGCAGCTGCGCCAGCTGCTCCTCCACGCTGCCGATCATGCCCTGGATCTGGGACAGCTGCACGCAGTAGCGGTTCTCCGTCTCTGCCAGGCTGCCCTCCAGGGATGCTTTCTGCAGGAGGTGGGAGAGCCAGGGGGGTCAACAAGCGGGGTCTGGGTCCCCTCGTGAGTGCCCCCACCCCCCACCCCGAGCAGAACAGCGGTCTGATACCATGCTGAGCTGAGACTGCAGCTCGATCTCCAGGGCCTGCACGGTGCGCCGCAGCTCCGAAATCTCGCTCTTGCCGCTCTGCACCAGCTCGCTGTTGGTGGCCACCTCGCGGTTCAGCTCCTCCGTCTGCAGGCAAACACGAGGTCGGACAATGTGAGCTGGGATCCCGTCCCCTCCATGGCCTCTCCATGCCAGGCCCAGAGAGGGATGGGCTCAAGAATCGCCTCCGGGCTACCCCTGTCATGGCCACCCGACCTCCAGCCACCCCTTGGGCCTCCTGGGCTTCCTCCCAAGCCTCGCTGTGGTGAGGGTGTCTTCTCACCAGCTCCCCGATTCCCAATCCTCGGGAACGCTCCCGTTTTCCCCACTAATCCCTACCGGTGGGAGGAATGGGAACAGGACCTTTGAGAACCAGCCAGTTTGGCACCTGGTCCTCACACCAGGTTCCGATTCCCCAAGGTCCAAGATCCTTCATTTCACAGGGTGGCTCCCCCACCTCCTCAGCCACCTCCAGAACTCAGGCTGGTGGTGTTACGGGGAACCCTGAGGCCCTGCGGTCCCTTGCAATTCTCTTCCGGGACATCCCCAGATGTCAGGTGCGGGACTTGCTGGGGGCGCCCACCTTGCTGAAGAACCAGTCCTCGGCGTCCTTGCGGTTCTTCTCCGCCATCTTCTCGTACTGATCGCGCATCTCAGACAGGATGCGGCTCAGGTCCACGCCGGGAGCGGCGTCCATCTCCACGTTGATCTCCCCGCCCACTTGGCCTCGCAGGGAGTTCATCTCCTGGGCAAGAAGGAGATTGTGAGCATGGGCACCTGCACCTGTCTGGATCCCTTTCTCCCAACCCGTGCCATGCGAGGTTTCTGGAACTCTTTGATGCAAAGGAGGCAGTGGGGCCCAATCCTGGCCTTTCTTTGCTCTGGAGACCCGCCACCCTCTGACCCTCGAGGTGACTGTGTGTCATAACGGACATGCCTCCACCATCAGACTGGGAGTCCCCAGAGAAGAAAAATCATGGCTGCCCCATCAGTCTGAGGACTCTCAACAGCTACAATATCGCTCTCAGACCCGTGTCCCTGGGGTTTCCTATCTACTTTCCAAATTTCCAAACGGGGCTCACATTCTCGAGTTCCAATGGGGACAAAAGAGGACCCCTCACTTAGCCCCCATCTCTGACAGGAAGGCCAGGAGGGGCATCAGAAAGGCCACCTGGAGGAAGCTGCCGGAAGGCACTCACCCTGGCACTCACCCTGCCCGATGCCCAGGGGTCAGGGCCCTGCAGGCAGGGCTGGGCACTGTTTCTCCCACCCCCTTGGCCTGGGCACCGCCCAGCTCCCTGCCACATGCCCTGCAGCCTCTCTGACCTGCTGGCTTCCTCCACACTCACCTCCTCGTGGTTCTTCTTCAGGTAGGCCAGCTCCTCCTTGAGGTTCTCGATCTGCATCTCCAGGTCGGCGCGGGCCAGCGTCAGCTCGTCCAGCACCCGGCGCAGCCCGTTGATGTCCGCCTCCACGCTCACACGCAGGGCCTGCTCCGTCTCGAACCTGTAAGAGAGCAGGGGCCTCATCAGCCCAGACTTCCAGCAGGTCCTGGCTCCTTGCCCCACCTCGGCCTTGGCAGGGGTCTGAGGCAGTGCTGGGGTGCCCAGTAAGCAAGGGAAGCATGGGCTTACTTATGCTCACTTACTACTCCATTGAGAACTAGTTCACTCTTTTTCTTCTTTCTTTTTATTTATTTCTTATTTTTTGGTAAACTACATGGACGAGTCTGCTTCTGGATCTGGCTGGCATGTGTATCTCCCCCACCCGCTACGACCCCTTGCTCCTGAAAGTTACAGCCCCTGGCCAGAGCCCAAGACCCAGGAAGCAATGGAAGGCTGGGCCCACTTATGCTTCCTGACAGATCTGTAGTCAATGAGGCTGGGGTGGGATCCGTGTGAAACTGGGCACTACAGATTAGTAAGCATAAGCGAGTTCACACTTACCTTCTTGCTGGATAAGCCACCCCTGGTCTAGCTAAGGGTTTGTGGAGACTGGGAGGGGGAGCAAGGGAAACAGATTCCATCGCTGGGGCCCTGGGACCATCCCAGGCGAGGCCCACCCCACCCACCACCTTATTCTCCTCTCTACCCTCCTGTCCCTTCCCCCAGTGCCAGAGCGAATAGGACCGGCTGCTGCTTCCTGGGGTACAGGGTGGGCTCTTGGCTGCTACCAGGACTCCCCCGCCCCAACTCCTGGGCCTGCCACTCCTTCTAAAGGAAAAGGCCACAGGGGACTCCTGGGCTGGGAGTGGGGGTGAGTCGGATGCCCAGGCTCCACCCCCAGTTTTCTGGGGCGCCAAGGCTCTGGCCCCAGGACTCACTTGGTGCGGAAGTCATCCGCAGCCAGCCGGGCGTTGTCAATCTGCAGCAGGATGTTGGCATTGTCCACGGAGGCTGTGAGGATCTGGGAGATGGGAGAGGAAGCAGGTCATGAGGTTGAGAAGCTGGCCCAAGACCCGGGTCAGGAAGCATGATTTCCTGCCTGGGGGCCAGGACTTGGCGGCCTCCTTGGAGAGCCCTCCCCGGCCCCCACCGCCCTTGCCCTTCACTGAGCTGTAATAGTTGGCAGCGGAGGGGGTGGGATGAGCTGAGACTTGTCCCTCCTCTCCCCCCTCCCCGGACTTGCATCCCTAGCAGCGACCCCCACTCCCAGCTCTGCCTTAATGAAGAGGCTGATGCTGGCTGGGAGCCCCTGGAAAGCCAGGGAATTCCAGAATGCCCTGAAGCAGGAGCTACCCTAAAATTCCAGAAGTATGAAAACCCCTCATTTTACCATCAGTGGGGAGGAGGGGGGTTTCCCCGACAGATTCTCCAAATTGGGAAGGTGGGGCTAAAGGAATAAGCAGTAGCCCCACATGGGAAGAAGGCGCAGCCCCAACTAAGCACTAGCCCTCAGGGCGTCCAGATAGGACATCCACTGAGCACCAGCAGAAGGGATGGGGAAGCCTGAGAAACCCCAAAATAAAGTCCCCAAGAGGCCTTCCCTGCCCTGAAGTCCTGCCCGCTTCCACCACCTCCTCTGGGCCATCAAAAGCTCCCCTGACCCCTCCACCACCAGCCAACCCCCCCAAGCCCCCATGCTGCAAATCACCCTGCAACAGACCCCCAAAGGAGGCACCAGGGGTCCAGTCCAGCCATCCAGGGCCCCCGCCCCCCACCCACCCCCTCGCATCATCTCCTACGGCCCCTTGAGGAAGCGTGTTCTGTGTTGAGCCCTGGTGAGCCCTGGCTCAGCCTGTTGCCCCAGAAAGAGCAGGGCCCCAGGCGGACTCCCAGAGCCCAAGCCAGAGCCAAGCTGTCCTCAGCCCAGGGAGGCCCTGAGCGCCCTCCCCACAGACCCACCTTGCTCTTCAGCTCCTCAATGGTATTGTAGTAGTGGCTGTAGTCGCGGGCGGGCCCCGGGGCCTGCTTCTGGTACCAGTCGCGGATCTTCACCTCCAGGTCGGTGTTGGCCTCCTCCAGGGCGCGCACCTTGTCCAGGTAGGAGGCCAGGCGGTCGTTGAGGTTCTGCATGGTGGCCTTCTCCCCTCCTGCCACCAGCCCGTCAATACCCCCGTAGCTGCTGCCATAGCCGCTACCGGCGCCAAAGCTGTAGCAGCCTGAAAAGCTGCTGCTGTTGCCCCCTAGGGCGCTGCCCAGACCGCTGGCTGACCCCAGCCGGCAGGAGCCTCCGCCCAGGCTGCCCGAGAGGCGGCAGGAGGTGCGGGAGCCACCCCCCAGGCCCGAGGACCCCTTGATGGAGCTGGAGGAGGTGAACTGGCGGATGGTGGTGGTCATGGCGGCAGCGACGGCGACGGCGAGGGGAGCTGAGCAAGAGAGCTGTCTGGTCTAGAGATCGGGAGAGGCCCCAAAGTGCATGCCGCTGCCAGGGCTCACCGCCGCCTTTATAGACCGGCAAGTGGGCGTAGCGATTACGACAGGCTCGGGCCTCTGTTTCCATTCCCCTCAGCTTTCATCACCACTGGCCGCCCGCCAGCTCCCAGGTGGCTCGGCACGCACCCCCCCATGGGGCTTTGCCTCACTTTCCTGGAGCCCCCGTGCGTGCCTCTGGTCTCAGGCTCTCAGGTGACCTGAATCACCTGTGATTCAGGCGTCCCCTGCGGCGACGCTTTCCTATGACCTAATACGGAGAAGAGGAGAAGGCAGGACGTCACCTTCACGGCCCCTCCCAGGCACTGTCACCTGCTCAGCCTGCCAGGCCCCCATGTCTGGTGGGGAAACTGGTTGGGCGGCCCCCAGCCTGAGGTAGTTCTCCTCCTCTGTACACACGGCACTGCCGCATGGTGCTGGCTCTGGGCCCAGACCCCAGTCGCCCGGGAGAAGCTAGGCCTAAGGCCACCAGGACCACCCTGTCGGGTATGCATCCCGTCAGGCCTCCGAACCCTGCAGCCCATTTGATAGGTAAAGAGACGGAAGCTGAGATTGCAGTGCCTCACGGCCTGCCTTGTCCCAGGGCTGGCCAGCAGGGCTCAGCCAGCATCCCGGTCTGCTGCCGCCCGCCCTCCCCAAAGACCCAGGCCACACTGCCACCCAGGACAGACCCTGGACACCCAGGGCCCTCTCTGGCGGCTGAGAGTCCTCTGCTCCGTGTTCAGTCTTGTCTCCATCCCGAAGACCGCTAAGGGCCAGCCTCCCCTTCTAGAACCACCCCCACCTGGTAGAGTGGCTGTGAGCAGGAACCCACTGATCGCAGTGGGCTTGGCTTGGGGTGGGTTGGTGGGTGGGTTTGGGGTTGACGGGTTGGTTGGTAGGTTTTGGGTGGTGGGTGGGTTGGAGGGTTGGTCCCCCTCATATAGGGGGAGCTCAGCAAGGAGGAAGATAGCTGTAGGCTGGGCGATTGGGTGGGAGACAGTTGTGGAGAGGGTGGAAATGGAAGAACAGTGCCCCATCCACTATCCACACCCTACCACCACCACACCGCCCCACAGGCCTTGGGGTGGTGCTGTGAGGGGCACGTGCTGGCAGGGAGTCTAAAGGGACCTAAAAATGCTCTGAGCTGTGGTGCTTTTTGGGGGGGGCTTCTCTGCTACCCACCCCCAGCTGGGCTCTGGGTCCCAGGCTCCCAGCATGCTGTGGGCAGAATGTGACCTCAGGGTGCCGGTGGCTTCCACCTCCCAGACAGGCCCAGACAGCCCCGCTTGCACCCGAGAAAGAGTCTCCAACAGCCCGGCAGGTGCCAAGCCACCAAAGCAAACAGGATGCCCCCCACGTGTATTCACCAGCGGCCACCCCACCCCACACACACCCCCAGCCGGGCAGAGCCAGCCTGGTTTCCCAGAGGCAGCCCTGCACTACCTCTTCCTATCCATCGATGCCCCTGTCTGCTCCCTGGGCCAGCCCTCAGCCCAGATCGCTCCCTCCACTATCAAACCCCAACTGGCCCAGGGCTGAGGCTGAAAGCACTGTATAACAGGTGTGGCCCCAAGAGGCTATGGGGCCTTTCCAGGGACCAGCCTCGGGCAACAGGGGCTGGCTCTCAGAAACCTTCCCAGCCAGACTGGCTGTGCTAGCCCTCCACCTCCAATCCTCCCACCCCCAGCCCTCTCAGTTCCCCAGGAGCCCCAGGGTGGATGGGGTGGGCAGAGCAGGT